ATCTAGAATAATAATCAACACTATAGAAACATACCAAAATATAAAGAACTGAAGAAGCTGGGTCAGAATGACCCAGAACCGTGACAGTGATATTATACTTAGCTGGAAAACAAATATACAGGTATGATGCTTTCAGTGCCTGTGCAGCAGAACCTTCATTATTCCAACAAATGAGGAATTTTAGCTCATATCACTGCTCAGGACCTTCAGCTCTGCGGTGTTGGTGGATCTCCTCACGTAAGCTGCTCCAATCAAATCCTTCCACAACATTTTTGGTGGATTAAGGTCAACACTGAAACCTGGTCATTCAAAAATATCACCATCCATTCTTCGGTAGCAGAAGCTGTGTGCTCAAGCTAAATTTCTTGCTGTCTCTCATGGTTCGGTTCACAGAAAGATATCCTAACATTTTCCTTTGAAGTATTATTCAAGAATGCATCGCTCCATCAACGACGGTGAGTCGTCCTGACCCCAGTGTAGCTAAACAGACAAACAAAGACACCATTATGCAGGAATGCAATGTTTTCTCATCTCCAAACAATTTACATTCAATGCCAAAAGTTCTATTTTAGTCTCAACTGAAACATTGTTCAAACAGATGTTTGGCAGGTCCAGGTTATATTTAGCAAACTACAGATTTAGACCAGCTGCACATTATTCCTCATTAACATGAACATTAGCAGACACGAGAGGATTTTTCCCTTTCCCTAAAGTTGCCCCCTTTACTACCTTTTTGACTTTTATGATTTCCTAATACACGCCTTACTCTCCGAGGGATATTTGTTGTTTAATCGCTCATTTGATGGTTAAAAGTGTTTTCTTGTGTTTGTAAATAATCTGTCAGTGTGATGAGCAACAATTTCCTCAGAAATGGAGTCAGACTCTGATGGATCCCACTGCTCTTCAGATAAAATAGGAGCATCAATTCACACCTTTCATGGACTGAAAACACCTGAAGGACTTAAAACCAACTGCCAGTTCTTCAGGTTCAGACCTTTGGTACTCACAAATGACCAGCTATATATTTATGTCATGTTTTATTTAGTTTACACTGTGTCTCCTTCGTGTCCTATGTGTGTGTTTGAGTAAGAGTTGTGTGTGTTTCGGTCATTATTTGTCTGTCTCAGTTGTCAATCCATGTTTGGTGAAGTTCACTGCGTCTGTGGTGAAACTGACCTCTGTGTTAAAGTCCAGCTGATTGCAATTGCAGGAGAAAGTATGACCGCGTGCGATCCGGCTGCAATGTGGTGCTGAGGGGTCAGAACTGTGGGCCGCGGCACATACTCAGCGCTGAAAGGTTGTAACGACACATTTACAACCAGGGCCCTATTTTTGCAAACACATTGGGAAGCTTTCCAGCGGATCCTGACCATGTGTGTCTGTGAGTGCGTGCATGTGTGGTGTATAATCTTACTAGAGCATTACTGAGATATGATCCAATCAGACATGTTAGGTCAGCATGTTTAAAATCCTCAAAAATGCATATCATTGTAAAACAACTTACATTCAAATAAAATGGTCATATATAAAAATAATTTTATTACATTAAAAGTATACTTTATAAACAATATATCATTATACAGCTACAG